AGTGCTGGAGTTTTACAGAATATAACATTAGTAGTGTAGTGAACGGACACTCAGGTGGGGAAAGCCAATTTATCGTTTAGTACAAAATAATAGTGTCTTGGTAAATTATGAAAACCATACACTAAATACTTTATTTGCACATCTTCCATCAGTTGTCCTTTACATCTTTCATATTTCTTCCAATTCTTTTCCGTTTTCCTTGTAGGTGCCGGTACTATGTCAAGCCCACATACGTTATTCTAGCTTCTAGACAGATCAATCTACTCATTTTTCTCAAGCCACACTTTTACCCTGTCACTGATTCGCTTATCCAACCTTGACTGTTTTTTATATGATCGTATGTGTGTGCATTTCTTATCTTACTCATCACATGTCTGTAACTTATTTTTGTTCGACTATAAATATCGATTAACACCTGGCTAATTCGAGTTGACTTGGATGCCTTCGCCATCGTGCGTTATTTTATCTTGCTTTGCTTTCCGATCAACGACTGTACGAAATATACTTGTTCAAAAATCCATTCCCGTATTTGACTTATTTAATACCATTATTCACAAACGTGATTTAAGTCGATGATTACATACGAGGATTGGCGACATGAATATTTCAATGGCAATCATTCTATAACGATCATGCATACGATCCAGTTGGAGTCATATATAGGGCCATTAAGTTCTTTGTGTTTTCTGTAGCTCAATCTTCTTTTGACAGACATTCCACTTCTGACTGGTGTTACATACTACTTACATCTGGTAATATGAGCAGTATACATCACGGTAATTGTTCTACTGGATGAATGACAGGTTAAAATACCTCAGAAACTATTGGTTTTCCAAAACACCATGTTGATGAATGCTGATAACGTTGAAGTCCAGATTCAGGGATCTTTGTAGACTTCCATTGAAAACCCAAGAGCACTGTTTGTTAAACTTGGTCATCTAATACACTTTTCATTCATGTACTTGAATCCGCGCTGATATTCACAATGGGATTTGAGCCCAGTAACCTTCTTTCTAAACGCAAGCAAGTCATTCAATAAGTTACTGAGTTCGGATGACCGTTAACCTGTTCAGTGGAAATGCTTATATTCATTCTACAACTAACTTTGATCAGTCTTAAAGAGAGAAAGAGAGAAGACTGGTGCACATATCTTCGCTCTTGCTCTCTTTGAGATAATAAAGGGAACTGTGTATGATCAGTCTTAGATTACATAAGTTCACCTTGCGCGAATTGTTTCGATATAACTATTATGCGGTAATTTCCCATAGAATGGATAGAATATGACTAGAAACGGAATATAGGATGCGTTTTCTACCCATTCGGGGTTTCGTCCGACAGATATATCTGTATTTCAAGATTATTCTCCACTCCTAGATTTGAACCACTACGTTATGCAAAAAACGCCCCAGGCGTTATTTACATGATTACTGAGTATTAACGTTATCAGTATGATTATTGAATTTTGTAGTTCAAGCTAACAAGCCCCAAACAGAACGCAACGCTCATCTTGGATTCCAATGCTAACCACATTCAATCTATTCTATAAACGAAATATAACAACGTGAACTGTAGAAGAAACATCAATCCGATATATCAGCAGAATTGTCTACGAAAATGAGAGGACGAAAAGCGAATGTCCGGCGCTTTAACCGGATCACAAACAAATGGTGCACATGGGCTCCAGTATCCTGCGGGAACAAATGGCGAATGAACCAATTGTTGGTCACCGGCTTCCATGGGACTGCATCTCCTTACGATGCTCCACTGCCTTGTGGATCAGACCCTCAGGTCGAAGGCTCGGAGTGTGGCCCCCTAAGAAAACCACCTGCTTCGGTCTGGGCACCCGGGCGGTATCACAGCCCTCACACATATCGAATGAGATTTGTGTGGCGCATAAGTATTTGGTGCCTCTTTGTACCAATATCTATGTGTTGAAATAAATAAAATAAAAAGAATTTACCACAAACAAATACAAATGTTAATCAAATATACTTGAAGTGTACAATAACTAAACCATTTATTCACTGCATTTTAATTTTATATTGAATAATGTCATATTTTGAATCAAGTATTATTATCATTGTCAAACTTATCATTGAATAATTAATAATATGTCGTATACAATTTACTAGTTGTGAGAGTTAAAATATGCCTAATCCATTCCATGACAAGTGACCTACTCTATATCATTGTTAATAGTGTGAAAATCATTATCTTAACACCATTGAATAAATAATTTGCTAGAGTGTTCAATATTCACATTAAACAGAACAGTCACATAGTTAATAGCTATCTGGATTAATATTAGAGTAATATTGTTTAACTGCTACACTGAACAACATCATTCATGACACATTTCAATTAATTACGAAAAGTTTAAGAGCATAAAATACGATTAAGTCGCGTTTAGTTTCAAACTTAACAGTCGTACGGTTTACTCTGTAAGAAATTAAAAATGAACGATAATGTTCAGTCTTATACTTAAATCGAATAGTCATACCGCGTTATTATCACGGAGGTACAATTATGTTATTCAGTAATTTAGTTATATTGATTAGTTAAAGCAGATAATCCATTTATACTGTAAATATGCACTCACACACACATTGAATTATTGATTAATGCAATGTAACTTACCACCAGTCCAATGATTTCAGATTTGATTATTGACTGGATATTTGAATGAAATACACCTTATAATAATATTACATGTTGTTTTGATCAACTGTGTTTGGCATACAATAAACACTTCATCATTGGTCTTACCTTTCTTCTTTCTAATCAAACAATATCCGTGTTTTTTTTCGTATATACAGTAGTAAGTAAACAATCATGTCCGCAGTTCAAAACATGTGGAAGAACCAGTATTCTATCAAGTCATTACAGTTACTCAATGTTCAACGATTCCTCAAACATCGATTATTTGTTCGACGAACAAATCTCAACAAAACATCAGAATCGTTAATTTATATCAAAACATTATCTTTATTCACATAGTATTGCTTGGATGAATTTTATTGAATTCTCTATGCTATTCTATAACAAAATGACAACATTGATCAAGCTGAAAATGTTTCTGCAAAAACACTTTTTTTTATAAACGTTGAATTCACTACAATTTCGACTGTTATAATTTATAAAAAGTGTTAAGATAAATATTTATCTGCGGCGGTCAGTTTTCACTATATAATAACTACATTTAGTAATATTTAATTAAATCATTTGGAACTGCAATGATCGATAAAGTGGCATTTCACATTGACTGACCACTTAGTAGTGACCAATTTCATGTTTACTTATCTATTAGTGTAGATTAATTTCTATCAGACAAACTAAATTATGGTCGCTAATCTAAATGACTAAACATCCCTTCCTAACGAGTACTGAATAGCATGAAACCTAGATCAAATCAGGTGTCATAAAAGCTACATCCAACAACCTAATATTCAAACATCGTTCACACAATGTTTATTCACTTACACCAGTCACCACATTCCAACTTCATCTAAGACATTCGATCAGTACTAACCACTAGACAAACATGACAGTCATAAATACTCAGCGATTAATCAATCATTTAGTGGTCAACGTACACCACACCTCCACCTTTCGGTTAGAACAACTGTTACCTATGTATTGTCTAAACAGTATCATGATATCGTCAATCATCATACATCACATCTCATTCACATTTCTAGTATACTAAAGTAAATAAGGTGAATAACTAATTTGTATCATTAATATTCACACATAATACGGGTGACTTTTTTTATGAATAGAATGTTTTAACGTAGTGGCATTCGAAATCTTACTATAACAACTCTTAGTTTTAATTATTAGATTGTCATAATATCACTCAAACTGGTGATCATAATCCAAATTGATTGACAAATTATTTAGCTTAGGTAAATGATTCATATAAGGATAAGTGGATAATTGCTGTGTTCAAACCTCAACACTACGAATATAGGTGCAAAAAGTTGATAAGTACCATATAGAATAGAACATCATTGTTGTAAATGTGTGATACATTAGAAAAATGTTTTGTCTTCTCATGTTGTCTAAGAAATTTCTTACGCCAATGATTACATCACAATTCACAAATGAAATTATAGAGATATGAAAGGTGTAAACATTGTTCTAATTAAGCTTACTAACAAAACTTTTCTTTATATGGTCAATTTATGTTTACACAAATTGTATGAATTTCTTCTATTGTATCTGATATAGTTACAAATTTTATTCAGTTTTAGGGATTTTGATAAACGATGAAGATTCAATGCATATGTATCCCTAACATCACACACAATTTTTAAACCATTGATTATAACCATTAAGTGAGACCTTGATTACAAAGTTTGCTACAGTTTCAAACTGATAATCAAATGACTTGATCTCATCTTTAGTTTGACTACTTCTATCTCTTTCATAATGTTTTACCGTTGAATAACATTACATAGAGAAGTATGTGGCTATTAACATTTATTTTCTAACCATTGAAGAAAAGCTTAATATTACTTAAAAAATAAATAAAAACCTTAATTGAAAAAATCGTAGAAAAACAAGATAATCAATAATCATTGTTTTACATCTTTACTACTTTCATTCATAATAATAAACATTCTTACCTGTTTTCATAAATTCATATTGTATAAAACAGAGTTTACAAATGTATAATATATCATGATGAAGAAAGCGCGGAAAGACAAAAAAGAACCCCACAATATTCAATTAGAAAAAATAAATCAACAAATCACAAACGTAGAACAAAAAGTAAAAAAAACAACTGGATAAATAATCACATACACAAACACCCACACAAACATATATATGGAGGGAGAGAGAGAGAGGTGTAATAATAACAATCAGCAGTAACTATGGAAGAATTAAACTTATTCGATCTATGTTAACATGAATTAAAAAAGAATCGATAAGATAAGCTAACAAACACACAATTATTTAGTATTTAAATTATCAAGGAAATAGATATATTGACAAAATTAGAAATCTGTCTCATCATCATAGAAATCTAGAAAGTTTACAAATGTTACACGTGTTACCGTACCATTTGCTGTGAATGTGTACTTGTAGTAAGATCCATCTGCGGATAAAACTATTTAGGAAAGAGGAAGAAAGAGAAGCAATGAAGAGAAAACAGAACCACGTTAGAAACAATAAAAAAAGATATAGTGATCAATACATAAAAAGTAATAAGTGTTTAATGGTTGAATATAGTCGGATAAGAAATATCCACTCGACTTTAGTATTTATTAATTGGAAATCGTATCAACAGTGTGTAGATACAGGTTAGAGGGGATTGATATTTCTAGTGGGATTTCAATCTGTATCAACCAACTTCCTAGTTTCGAGACAATATAACTGAATTATTTGAAATACAACAGAACAACGGTAGAACTGACATGTTTACATTGATTGGTCACTACTATTCCATGATCAATCAATGAGCGGAAAAGTGATTTGTCGATTGATAGTCATGTGACTAGTGGTTAGGTTTTGTATTTTATTTCATTCATTCAAACATATAGTTTGTTTTTAGAAAAACTATGAAAGATCACGTCTATGAAAAATATCGTTGTACTGTTTAGAATAAAAATTACATAAATTTACATAAAATTATGACGAATTAAGTTCAAAATTAATTGTATTGCTGCAGTGGCATTCATTCTTCATCTCTAACTAAATCCTCAAGCATATTCTCATACTCTGGACTTTTTTGAACTTATTTATTCCTTTCAAGTTGTATGTTTTATACCTCTTAACTTGTCTTTCCTTTGCTGCTAAGATTTTGCTAGCGTTAGATGTAAGGTAACATGAACTGACACTTATTTACTAAGTACAAATTTCTGTAATTAGCTTCAAACTACACACTAAGTATGGGGGACTGGTGATACTACATAGCTGTTCTAATCGAAGTGAATAGAGATGGATTCAAACTTGTGACTTGGCGGATGGAAACCAAATGCCTTAACCACTGAACCCGCCACTGCTCTACGCGATATATATACAGGACAGGTCCCTGGTTTCCTAGATAACTGAAATTCAGGAAATGATTAGTACATATTACAGAGACGGAACAGTAGAAATAATATTTTGTAAAAGCCAATGAAAATATAAATGAAAAGCATAAAATGCGTGGTGTAGCAGATAAGGTCAATTTTCATGAAGTGAAAGACATAGACAAATGACACTTTGACAAACCACCACACTATTATAGGTGTCATTACCAAGGTTTGATTTGATAATTTCGAATAAATTGAGCATTGGGTTCATTGGTTATTTGTTCTCTGAAGAAGTGACTTACACTAAGTCACGAAACGTCAGAAAATCCAATTTTCTACTCATTGGGATATTACAAATATATTATTTTTATTTACATCACACTATTAGTCCGGTGGTTATGAAAGGTAGAGTGTGCAACGGTACGATACGAGTAATCACGTTTTGCGCTACAATTGTAAAACATCATCTTCGAGTTAAGGAATGAATCCTTAGTTTAAGCATTGTTGTATTCAAAGAGTCACTCATATTGTGTAAGTAGTGTTGAAATTCGATAACATGAATTCTGTTAATAGTAAAAATTACCATTGAATAAATAACATCACTTTAAAACGTTAAATTTAGTGGGTTGGAGCCTTTCAAATATGAGTGTTAGCTCAAGTTGCCACACCACATTACCACGACGAGATGAAATTAATGAGATGAATAGTGAAGCAGATTGAAATAAGGTAGTAACAATGAGAATAAGAATAAACAGTCAAGAGAATACGCCTTCACAATTGATTGATCACTTGGTGGTGATCAATGTTGTGTGTGTCAGGTCCTTATTAGTGCAGATCGAATGCTATCGACCATGTAGCAATGTGGCCACTAGTCTAGGTGACTCCACATGTGTGCATTATGTTGAAGGAGGACATGACATTGATCACCACCAAGTGACCTATCAATTGTGAATACATCTCAGTTCCGCAGGACGTCAGTCGCGGCCGGGATAGCCCAGTGGTAACATCTCTGACTGCGAAGCTGGGTGACATGGGATCGAATCTATCAGGGAGCGTCAGTTCCCTCAAGATTACAGGTACACCTTGTTGACGAGGGCCAAGTAGCACAAAACCCGAGTTCAGGGTTTCCTGTTGACTATTTTCAACCACCACCTTATCTCAGAATACGCTTTAAAAAGATAGGATAGAAAGGTATATATGAAGGAATAGTGGTACTTAAGATATGGATGAAAATAAAAAGTGAACAAACCTCGGGCATTGTAACTGATTCTGAGCCATATAATTTAATGTCTCAAACCGCTAATAACGGTTATAGTGAGAATCCCAACCAAGTAGTAGGCACCTACCAACATGGTCCAGTCGAAAAAGCAATGACTTTATCGACTGATGTCATGTTATCTTTTGACCGACCCTAGCTTTCTTCCAACTTTGTCCTACATCCGTAAACATAGCCCGCCGCGGTAAACTGTGGTTAAGCATATATAACACGTGTACCGAATGGAAATGATTTACAACTTAATAGATTCACTGATTCTGTTCGCGGAGATCGTACAGCGTTATCAGATATGGATCGGAACTCAAACTAGTTGTGACTATGCTATAGTTTGCAATTAGGTGGGCATTCTCAAGGTCATTTTAGTGTTTCTCTTAGGTTGTTCATAAATTATGTTCTCACCGTTTTACCTCCCCTAAGTTATTGTTGATTATTTATAGACTTTATTATTAGATTTATTTTTCAGTTATGATGTATTTATGAACACACTGTAATTTCCTATTTAAATCGATGTGTGGTTCATATTATTATATGCGTTTCGAGTCATGATGATAATCGTACAATATAGAGAAGATGTCTGTTCGCTAATTTTGTTCTGTGTTTATTCGGACACTGGGTTGGAAGGAGTTCAATGACCAAAAGTTTCATCCACTGTTTATTGGTCATTCTCGTTGGTAAAAGTAGAAAGTTACTAATGCTACAGTTGATAGAAGGAGGATTAATCAATAAGTGGACATAATAATTATTTATTCTTATCATAATTAACTTGAATAACACATGAGGATAACAATAAAATTAGGAATATGTTTGTTTGATTTGTAATTATAATACTAAAATGTTCATAACAACAGTAAGAATTTGACAATAATTCAACTTAAATAAAACTCAATAATTCAAATGATGATTCATTGGTTGTTTGTGTAAGATAGATATTTTTCGTTTTACAATCGGTTTCATCGTGAAGTATAGAATTTAACTAATCCAACTAGACAACTTTTATTGTGTGGTTAGGGCCGATTAGTAACAATTCAATTGTAATTTTATGCAGATTACAATTCTATATTGTAAAACTGTGTTTTCCGTAAATAGTAATTATCAGTTGCATGTTTAATTATTATCTTTTCATAGTTGTTAAGCCTAAAATACTAAGGGAGTAGTACTTGTAAATTGTGAAAAATTCAAAGTACTGAAAAGCTTTAACTACCAGAACTCACTAACTAAAAGTCTTGAACATAAATCTTTTTAACTACTGATAGTGATACTACTAGGTTGTTTAGACCAACAGAGACAGAGTTTAGTTTGAACCTGAGGCCTAATAATTGAAAGGTTAGAGCTCTAAACGATACATTCCTGCTTGATAAGATTGGGTGACGAGACTAATTTGGATGTGCTGAGAACATCTAACTCAATAACTAACTAATGTGACGGGCTTATGGAGATAGTTGACATCATTGATTTGACTTATTTAAATAATTATTAAGAATGTGGAAGCGCAGAACAGCTGTTTCGTCCTAGTATGAGACTATTGTTGTATGTAACCACGACAGAGCCGGGGATCGGACTCAGGACCTTCATGTTTCGTGAAAAGTGTTCAACCTTCAGACCATTGATTAGGTATGTAATGGTTTATACTTGTAACTTAAATCAATTCGCGATCCTGAACACTTATGCACAAATAGTATCGAAAGATTGTTATGCCATACCGCGTAACGAACTAACTAACATCACTTGATCCAATCGATTTAAAACTATAAAGAAATCACACGTGCAAAAATGATAATTTTTCTAGAGCTCTGTCAATTATGTGTATTAAATATACTACGATAAATGCGTAAGAGTGACAAGTGCACACTTATCATTAGATTTGTAGAAAGAAAAACGAATGAAGAATCTTGAAATAATTATGAAATATCATGCAATTGGTTGGAAGAACTGAGAGAAGAGTGCATGTCCGCATTTCTGAGCATGTTCCAAAAAACTTGATGCTGCGAGGGAATAAGGCCTTCAACAGCGCAATAGCTCGACATCTACTTGACACCGGGCACACCATCGAGATTCCACATGCTTTCAAAATTATCAATAGACAAAGAAGTACGACCACCCTCCGTTTTGCTGAAGCCATCATGATCAAAAAACTCAAACCCGACTTATGCATCCAAAAAGAGACTTTAATTAACTTATCACTACCCTGGTAACCCCTTTTTATTTTATTTATTTATTTATTTTAAAATATTTATACTCCTCCCCTATTACATAATTCTTAAACCACATTATCATTCACACATTTCCGCCACCTGATCCTCTTAAATTATCTTAACTTTTCAAATTCTATTTTATTATTATTACGTAACCTATCTTATAATTATTCAATTCCATTACTACACCACCCAACCCGAATTAATTCCTTTTGACCTCTGACCTGTTCTAGCATATATATATATATTTACAATTATTATTGTAACCCAGTTATTTACACTCATCTATGTCAATTGTTTTCACTATATCTCAATGTAAAAATTCTATCACAATTTTGGTTTGTAAGCAGCTGACGAGAAACCTCGAAATAATATGAATTCATACTATTCTGCATCAATATTTGTTCTTGCTTTATTTAAATAATGAAATAATCGACTATTGAAACTGAACAATATGTTTTGCAGGCATAATAATTTCACTTTTCTGTAGGATAAGTAATAATGCTGTTTGAATAATGTTTTTTTCTATTCAATAATTTATAATTGATTAAAACATTTTTGTTTTATTTAAGACACGGATAATTTTGAACAGAATAACTGTTTATATAAGCAGTTAGTCAAACAGATGAATAGTGGTCTAATTACTTCACAATAAATAAAACATTCACAACTAATTACTGGTGGATTTACAATGATAAATAATAAAAAGAATTGAATAAGATAGTTTAGTTGAAATGGGTATAGTGAAGATTGGTCAGATTTATAGATTATGTTCATCCTATAATGAGCTCATTTGGAATACCATTGAAAACTAGGGAGAACTGTTAAGACAGCTATTTCGTATTAGTATAGGACTAATCTCAACAGTACGCACCTTACTGTTTGATTGGACACTGATCCCATGGTTCTAACAACTAAGCGTTCGCCGCGGGACCTGAAGGTCAAGGAATTTGATACCTGATGATATAGTCATAGATAACCACTCTTGAAATGTCTGCAAACAAAGAAGGAACATCTGTCTCGTTCTCTTTGGCTTTCAATAATACCCCAACTGAGATCAATCAGTTATAAATAAAACAACCTACGGATAAACATTACGGGTAAAAGCAAAGTGTTTTATTCATTACTTAGTAAATGTCTACTTTTGAAACTTACCTATTAAAGTATCAGGACTGACAGAACTGAAAGCACATATAGCCTTGAATTTCGTTTCCAAAACACATCGTACATGGCTTGTAGTAGAAAATAGAGAACGTAGAGAGAGTTTACCGGAACTGAAAGTAGAAATTTCAAGTAGCATAAAAAACGACACACCAAGAAACTTATTTTTTATTCTAAAAGAAACACAATAAATGAGTAAATATCTATATCTCTTTGTCGAAGAGCATATAACTTGAGAAAACTTCTGAGAAATAATACTAATTTCTGCTTACTTACTATGAGTTTGCATCTTCAGGTTATTGATACTGGGGAGTATAAATGATCAACCATTATTGGTTTGTATGCATTCTGAGCGAATTACTTTGATATTCCTATTTTTTCATTCATGATATAAGGCAATTGAAATTTGAGCTCAGTGGATACCGCGCTGTGTTTAAAATAAGCATACAGAATAACCCCGAATTCAGCCTCATCCAATGGTGTCTACCCTATTGAATCAACGTTCAGAAGGAAGACTTGGACATTATTTGATAGCATGTTTCCACGAAGAAAATGAGGATATAAATCCATGGTGAGGAGAATCGAACGTTAAATTCCTAATGGGTTACCAATGTATACAAGAAATTTTCGACAACGGGGGTCTACGTGGATAGCGAGTGTCATCGTGTGAAAAGTCGGTGACGTAATGTACGAAATTGATGTTTGAGGTAAATGTCTGACGCGATATGTAAACCGCATCCAAGATAGGCGACTAGATTCGAATAAAGAACCCCCTAGTTCAAACTTGCCACTAGATTATTTAGTTGATACAATTAGTTTGGAACGACAAGATCAGTGCAAAAGAATTGATGGCCAGAACCCAAAAAGATCGTGAAGAAGACATATCCCTCAACGCCTTCAGTTAAATCCAAAGAGCGAGATTTATCTTTCAAGAGGGAAAGGTGGTATGGCAAGCCAATCAGAAGCAGTCTAATGAGAAGATCAACAGATGGCAATCAGAAGTGGCCTGAAGGGCAATTTCATTTCACTGGCTAAGAAATTGATTAATTTACTAAGGGGTAGAGTCGTATATATAAATTGTTTAGTGATAATGTTTCAGACTATGAGAATGGGTGACACAGATTCAGATCCTACATGAAGCATCAATTCCTACAAGACTGGAGGTACGTCTTGCTGACGAGTACCGAATAGCATGAAACCTAGATCAAATCAGGTGTCATAAAAACGAAATCTAACAACTTAATATTCAAGCATCGTTCACACAATGTTTATTCACTAACACCAGTCACCACATTCCAACTTCATCTAAGACATTCGATCAGTACTAACCACTAGACAAACATGACAGTAACAAATACTCGCCGATTAATCAGTCATTCAGTGGTTAACGTACACCACGCCTCCACCTCTCAGTTAGAACAACTGTTACCAGTGCTTCCAGGCTTTCCATGGTGGTCTAGCTTCAATCCACTCATGATTTCAACCTATGAAATTTGTATAAACTCTCCACAAAACCCATTCTGATAATAATCAACTGCTCACTAGTGACTGACTTGAAGAAAAACTCCTGGAGTTCTAGTGAGAAGCCGTTACCAGTGGAGTTCAACCAGGTCTGTTGTGAGATAACAACTCACTGAAGACAATGGTGTACGGTGGCGCAACTTCGTGGATTGGTTCAAGTTAGACATTAAGAGCGTTGGATGCCGGCTCAGTGGTCTAGTGGTTAAGTGCTCGTGCGCGAAGCCAGTAGGTGCTAGGTTCGAACAACGCGTGGTGCGGGATCGTGGATGCGCACTTCTGAGGAGTCACATACTAGGACGAAACGGCCGTCCAGTGCTTCCACCTTATCCATGGTGGTCTAGCTTCAATCCACTCATGATTTCAACCTGTTAAATTGTTACCTATGTATTGTCTAAACAGTATCATGATATCGTCAATCATCATGCATCACATCTCATTCACATTTCTAGTAAAGTAAATAAGGTGAATAACTAATTTGTATCATTAATATTCACACATAATACGGGCGACTTTTTTTATGAATAGAATGTTTTAACGTAGTGGCATTCAAAATCTTACTTTAACAACTCTTAGTTTTGATTATCAGATTGTCTTAATATCATATCTGTGTTACTGCTAACTATTATCGACTTCTTCCATTAATTAGATGCAATTGCATCCTATGTGCTGATTGAGTTGTAGACCTATTTTTTTTCTCTTGTTCTTCTCTATTTCAGACTGTCACACATATGTGCTGCTCTTCATACTTCCTCTCTCCTTCTCTACATAACATATAGTAAACATTCAGATGCGATTCAAACTGCCATATATCCTGACATATATCCTCTCATTAGAGGATATAACTCGAGTCACCTACTTGATCGAATTTCATTTTACACTTAATTTTAAACACACACATATATACATATCGTTTTGAAAAAAGCACGACAAAGTAAACAATTAAGCAAATAACAACAACGACATACCCAAATCCTGAAGATTTTGTCAAGTGAGGACTATGGTTATGATTAATACTAGTATTACTACTATTACTACTACTACTAATACTATTACTACTACTAATTTGAATATTACGAGGATTAGTTAAAGAATCTTTTGTAAGACAAAATATGTGCGCAGTACCACGTTCACTGGTAACACATAATAAATCACTATCTTTATTAAATGATAATGATGTAATTGTAGCTTGACTAGTGCCACGTCGTAATTCATGTAATAAAGTACAATCTTTTGTAGAAAATATACGAATTAATGTGCCTTTTTGTGATGCTGTTGCCAGTAGATAACCATCACGATTTAAAGTGATTGATGCAAGTGGATTTTCATGTGCAATTATTTGTCTTGGTGGCATATTAGTAGCATTTGTTGATGATGGACAAATAGTATTGATGGATATTGTATTTGTACTTCCAATATTATTATTAGTAGTAGTATTGCTGTTATTGTTAGTAACATTCCCAGGATTGTTATTATTTGCGTTGTTATTAAGATTGACATTACAACCAGTATTTCCAATATGAACTAATGATACAACACCAGGTCGTCGTCCAGGAAATACAACCAATGGATTATCAACACTTTGACAGACATAACATAATCCTGAAGGATTTGAACATGTATTTGATTCAAAAATTAATTGAGGTGATGGGCTAAATGTGTACACTTTGATAGCATTTACAAGTATAATTATTATTCTATAATGAAAAAGTGAAAATTGGACAGTTTAATTACTCAGAACCCCAATATTAAAGAACAAAACAATAGGTTAATATATTTGAGTAAACGAGGCCAGTTGGTCTCGACTGCTAATAAAGGTTGCTGATACTGTAGAAAAATACTTCTTTTTGAGAAATCTGAAAAGGTGGTGGTTTAGGCATGGTATTAAGGACCTGAGGGTGTGATCACATTACCCAAAACATAACTACCTCGGGATGATCACACACAGCTTTTTGTAAGTAGTTTTAGACATGTGAACTGCATTCCTTGAATAAATTACTCCGGGCGACCGAAATGCACGAGGTAATGTAGAGCTTGATAGTTTTAGGGTCAATATTCTCGAACCTCCATCTAGTATGAGAAAGAATCATTACTGTATGTGATTGCTTGATAGAAATACGTTGCTGTCACACCACAAGTACACTTGGCTGTCAGACCTTACTTTGCTGCATTTAGTTTTATTATTCCCCATCCAACCAACCTACTTGTCATGGTAGGACATAAACGAACGAGTGTTCCAGTTAATATATTTCGATTGGTCTGTCACAACAGACAAGACCGACCATTACGTCAATGTACCAGTTATAGTCAGGACTATGTCATCTTTAACATATAGATTATTTTACAAAAACGCATGAATATATATATATATATATATATATATATATATATATATATATATATATATATATATATATATATATATATATATATATAGTAAATGAATCGTTTTGCTATGACTAAAGTCAGAGATTAAATTCGTTAGATGCAGACTACCTAGTTAGTGCCCTTCCGATAACCATCATCTGTGGTTGAAGATGTTAAGCGATGCAGATCTACTCATCGTCTATTTTCCTCTACATTTTGATTGCCATTCACTTTACTGAATTCATATTGTTGTGCAAACGTGTTGGAGAGATACATAAAACTCGAAAAAAGCCCCCAAAAGGCTCTGAAAACATTGAGAACCATCTTATCCAATCAGTATTCACTAGAAGCGTTGCCGGAAACATCTAGAAAGTGAAAATTCATGTAGCGAGTTTCTGATTGGATGGTTATCTATACTGCTATTATGTTTAGTAGTGTTCCGGAATTTTCCGGAAACCCATGAAATATTATAAAAACCCTAAATTTTCTGTGCATAAACGAACCTTTGGAGTAAAGCGTTTCTTCTATATCTCCCACCTTTTCTCTCGTGTTTAAGTTGGTGTATAGATCTAACCTGGGGGTTACTAGAAGAGCTTAGGAACCGAATCTAGCGTTCAATTAGAAAACTTATCAAAACGTAGTATGGGAAGTTGAGTTAATGTATATGTATGTGTTGTAGTCTATACATTCATGATGACTAACAAAATGATATCCAACAATAAAACTATGTTCAGGGTTTCGTCTTGTTGACTGGCTTCAACTTCCCAACCATATGCACCTAATCATGCTACTGTGATACAACAGCTTCATACGATGCACATGTTTGCCATGTTCTACTTTGATGATGGCTGATGACTTACTGGAAAGTTAAATCCTTATTGTTAGTTTGTCGGAAATTCTCCTGAATTAAGGTACTCCTTTGAGACAACTATTATATGTGGATATACTTTGATGAAATATTTGACTCTAAAAAATTAACTTCACACTAAATACATTACTCATTACTTACATCGAAGGCAATAAAATAAAGGTGATGGTGAAGACGATAATGATAATATTAGGAACAAATGAGATTTTTCGGAAAGGTTTGTTTTATTGACATTGAAAATGTATTCATTTATTTTTCTTGACCAACTTTATCAACAGCCTTACAATATTTCTCTAACTTTTTTACGTCACTACTTATTGAAAAATTAGTCCGAGTTTATGAGTTAGAGATTTCCGGAGATACATTGATAATGTCGAGGTACTCAATCTACGAATAACATGGATCACTGACTAAGAAGGTAAATCAACGTATCTATCACTCTCGTGTGTGTCTGTGCATACGCACAGAATTATTTCTTTTTTCTGAATCGTATCGAACGTTAAAATTCAGTCATCTTTTGTTGTTTAAAGAGTTGACTAGTTGAATATCCAACGATTCAGTAACGGATTCCTGAAGATTTTTACAGATTCAGGTGCCCTATTTAACTGAATAGTATTGAAATAGAGGAAAAAACCAAGTCATATATATATGCCGATATTTCAATTATTGTTTAACTGATCTAGAAGATGATTGGTCTTCAGATTTTATGATAATAGAAAATATTTTGTAGAATGTAGAATTTTAAAACTTCTTACTTAATGCACTTCTATAGGATGATCTCTTAATTGGTTATCGTTAAAATAAAATTTAGATCGAAATTTAATATTTGTAAGTTGTATTATTACCCGGTCGTTGTTGCTACCTTTATGTGGTGGTCGGGCTTGCCTATTGCGATGAACCAATCGAACTATACTGGTTGGAACAACCGTTCCTCAAGGTCCTGCTATGCCAGACAGGTCGGTTGAAGAACAGTAGGATTAAAAGCAGTATACCCAAGGTCCGAAGGTGAAGTCGTACTGCTGAATGTACAGAGGTGTGTTAGTAATGGATTGATTTTACCTGGGATACCAATAGAAACTGGGAAACGGTGAACATTTGTTTTGTCTTTATGTGAACAACTGAGCTATTATGTGATAGCAATGTATCGTGTCTCGTTATGAAGATTCATTTAGTGGCCTACAACATTTGCGGAATTAGGAGATGATTGGTCTACTCTGATATGATCGATTCTCTTCATAATCGATAACATCAACTAATACACATATACACAAAACATACCAACATGTAACGGCTAATATAGGGAGAAGGTAAATGGTAGGAAAACTTAATGTTCGAGGTAGTACAGCACGAATCGGTACAATTCTGTATTTATGTATGTATGAATAAAAAAGTGGCCCACAAGTACACAGAAATTTAGAGGAGTGAAAACAATGACAAGTAATCGGAAAAGGTTAAGCTCATGTGGAAAATTAAATTACAAAAGAAAGACATTTGTGATTATTGCTTATAGTGAAGATTTTAGCATTGTTAACAGAATATGTCTGTTCTTGTGATCGCCTTAGCATAAGTATAAAATTAAAAAAACTAAATATTGGAAATATGGTATGAAAGGACAGAGCGAAAAGTTATATATGGAAGGATACTGGAATTCAATATGGAAAGGAAGCATAGAAATGAATGCATCTAAGCAACTGCACGATCGATTTTCTGTTACATTACATTAAAATCTCTAACCACCGATTATGATCATCACGTGGATCTCAACCCGATAATCTGTATCTAATATTTTAAAAATCTTTCATTTTCATTATTATCGTACTTCATGATATAAGACTATTGATAGTTAGTGTACACACTGATTTTTATAGAACTTTACGAATTTCTACTGGTTTATTAAATATCACTTCGATATATAATTTTTATACTCGAAAGTTTATCTAATTTAAATATTTTTACGAAAAAATAAAATCTATATATTAATAACAGATACATTTGTATACACATTATGGTAGGTATAATGACTAAATGAATGTTTATTTGGTAAAACAATAATTTATGGACAACCTTTTAGCGACGCTGAAGTGACCTTGAGAATGTCCATCCACTAACTAGGACTAAATGACGGTTACAAAACAGTGTGAGAAATTACAATTTTGATTTACAGTTGATGGTTACAGTTAGAAATTAGATTTAGAGTTTTAATCACGAACTGATATCAGCTAAAATGCCAAAACACTATTTAGCCAAATGGATGAATGAATTTCGCGCTGAAATCTAAGACCTGTTATCTTATATATGATTGGTTTGCCCATAAATTATAGTCTCGCCGTTTATTTTGATGCATAAACATGGATTTCTTATATGTTCGATGTGCTACCCCTATTATAATTCTGTTGCGGACAATGACAGACTACAAATTTATTTTAACGAAATCTAATAATTTTGATACTTTTACACACTGATTAATCACCGTGTAGTAGTTATCAATGTCGTGTATTTTTAGATCTTAATAGTTAGTACAAATTTTGTCAGTCCAGTTGTAATATAGTCTCTGGTCTAAATGGATTTAACATTGCTTGTATTATGTTTGATTGTTTGGTTGCAGTTCAATTAGCACTGAGGGCTAGATGAATACGATATTAATCAGTGATCGGTATAAATATTTAGGCCAGAAAAAATGTCAGTTGTAACCAGAAGACCCCTGTCTGTGTCACTAAGTGACAAGGTTCCGAATCCCCAATTCTAGCACCATCCCTTCCGCGAACATTGCATGTATACTGTACTGATAAGTCTCAATTGACAAGAAACTAACGTCTGTTACTTATGGCGTAGGTGTAATGTCCGCCTGACAGTCGAAGATATTTAAAGAATGTAGTTAACATAACCAAAACTACTCACAAAAAGCTGTGTGTGATCATCCCGAAGTAGTTATGTTTTGGGTAATGTGGTCACATGCTCAGGTCGTTAATACCATGCCTAAACCACTTTCCTTCTCAGACCCCTCAAAAAAAGCATACTTCCACAGTATCAGCAACCAAGAAGTGATGACTACCTTTATACTCCTAACCACTCAAGATCACCTTGTTCATAAATATGTCACACCACAAACAAACAATTATACACTTGTCTAGTGTAAACCTAGTCAAAAATTTAAAAATAACGTGTATTTATTAGTCAGCAAGCAAACCGTACCCATTTATATACAAATATTAATAACAATAAAAAAGTAGGAAGATCAACTAAGATTTTCACTTACCGATCATGTCTTAAACGAATGCCACGAACATCTGTAGCACAGGTGATTTCTAAGACAAATTGTTGTTTTATTCCATCCCATAAACAAGCGACATTACTTGGTAGACGTGAATGATTACCGCCACCCAATATACCAAGTAAATTTGTACGAAATAACATTTCCATGTAGCCAACACCGGTACCATCTCGAATATCGAATTCTTTTTAATGTGAATGATTATAAATAAGAAATACGAGGTTATATATACAAATGATGTAATTCAAAGTTAATCTGATAGCTAGATGAGAACACATAAGTGGTTAGGGTATGTAATATGTATGCCTATGCACTGACTACCTCGACGCGCGATGACAGCTAGTAAAGGAGTAGGTTGGAAGAAAGCTACGGGTGCCATCACATGGTACCACTCCATGAAGACACTGACTACTGGACTGAAACATGTAGGTAGGCTCAGAATACGTGGTTATGATTTGCGTGATTATTGTAACCAATGGTTAGATACTTTGGGTAACGTGGCTCAGAATTGTTCGCAATGCAGAAGGTACATTCATTCGTTGTCATCCCAAGCTTTCTTGTAATCTTTTATTATTCCACTAATTTGCATATTCTTCTCGAATTGCATCGTCGCTGTTCAACCTTTTCTGTTACTACTAATAGTGTTGTAATGAACAGAGCACAGGTGGGGACAATCGAATGTATTTAACACAAAATTACAGGACTTGTTAATAAAATCTAAGTAAATGCTTAATTTGCAAAATGTCCACCAATTGTCTCAAAATGACTCAGACTTCATTGTTCTTGCATTTTCATACAAATTGCATCTTGTTTCCATTCTTTACTGTTCGATCCTCTTGTCTCTCTGCTTTTAGACCTTCTGTTTACGATTAACATCATATGCTACTTATGTCAATATAGGTAGCACACACCACCGTGTTAATGCATCTACTACCCTTGGACTTGCCTTGATAATTTTATCCCATCGTGAGTATGTGGTGCAGCAAAAAGGAACCGATGTACCTATATGTCAGGTTCTACGCCACATATGACTGACAGACTACTGTGGAAACGTTTAGTAGTTATTTACATAAATAAACTCTAGTCTCGAAAACAAATTAAGTAGGAAATTGTATTCCCTGATGCCTAAACAATGGCAAATGGAACAAAATCCATTCTGTCTTAATAAGATACTTTGGATATTCACACTATGCTAAACCGCACCCTTTCAGCACGACGGGGTGAAATTATCGACTCGGTGGTCCCAAAATATTCTAGCAATGCTTCGAAGACACCTATGATCGAATGACAGTAACATAGTAATATGGCCTAATTTTTAAGACCATGTTTCACACTCATAAAGTGGAACAGAGAGCGTATTAAACTCGTCCCTCGATTGGCAAAAAGAATTATCGCCAACACTGCAAGTGACGCAAATTGTCGAAGCCGATTGAGCATTCTGAATTCGTCCCGAAACTTCATCCCACACTAACCCACCTGGGGTGAGTGAAGCGATTAATACACCCAACTACTTCGCTTCCTATGGTTATTTCAAGAGTTAATGCAAACCAATCCTGAGGTGAGTTTGTATCTAGAAGGAGAGAAACGCATCAAAAACACATTTGCATTGTTTCCTAAGGCGGTCAGAAGACTACATTCTTTCATCATCTTCACCAAACAGAACTATATCGTCGATGTATTCAAAGTCAAAAAGAAAATCTCCTGACAGAAGATCGATTTCTGAGAAGTCAGACGATGAGTGATATCTCTAAAAGAGGGCCCATAACAAAACTAAATAAAAATAGGAAAATCGAATAACCTTGACAAGCGCCACTTAAAGTTATCAATTCCAATGATAGTTCTCCATAAACCCTGACTACATTTAGTTATTTAGTAGATAATAACTATATATAAGGAAGTGACATTTATCATTCAGCTTTAAATGAAGGTCGTGCTAGGAAGTAAGAAAACCTTCTTTATATACACACAGATTGATAAAAAAACGTTCCCCATAAACTTTGCTCATTATTTTATATTGTATATGAATGGAAGTAATCACTGTGGAATAAGTAGATTTTGATACATAACTTGTAATTACACGGAAATTATGAATGAAACAAGCTGAGGCATTTACAAATGTGTTCACTTTCTGAGAACATAGGAAAAAAACCTTCATCTAACACTAGATTTGTTTAACCTAGTTGTTTGCAACCTACTTTCACGATGACTACGTATTAAAGGAAGAAATAAAACTCAGAATTGATTCATTTAAGGTGTCAACAAGTATAAACTTGAATTTGCTTTGGTAAATGTATTCGCACATCATTTCGACGTAGGATGTATAGTCCTAAATAGACGTATATATTACTTTAGGGATTTATGGAGATTCTTCTCTGTTTCATGCTAAACATCACGGAATGATCTCAGATAAACAACCAACCGCAGCTTTCTGCAATGAACAAATTCGTGTAGCATAGCCTAGCATAGCAGATGAAAAACACAAAATTCTAGCAAAAACTAGGATTCAAAATGAAATCTTTAATAAAAATCTGCACTTCACAATCGGATGACTTCATCACTAAAACCTTTTCTCATAATAATTCAAACGGACTCAAGTCTCAGGTTCAGTTCTCATACATTCATGTCTATTTATTTTATCTATAAGAATATACATATATATATGGTTGTACACACGCATATTTAGGATGCTTACCATAACGTTCCAATTGTTTTAAAGGATCACAATTGAAAATTCTGAATCCATTTTGCATACCAACTGCAAAACAACCTGTAATAAATTAATAAACATACAGGACCCGGGTGTAGACACATAAATTGATAAACTGAATTCTTTTTAAGAAACCAACCTCAAGGAAATTGTTTGGAAAAAGTGATTGAACACTTAGAATGAGTTTGTAAGCAAAATGAGCAAGCATTTATTCTTGTCTGATAAAGCAAGAAGTTATCAACTGATCAAAATCAATTCTTATGAAGTTTTCAATATGGAGTTGTGAAGATTGTTAAATTTCCTTGAACACATGAGCCTATCAATGTCAGAACACCAATGAATACCTGGAAGCACTAGACGACCGTTTTGTACTGATAAAGGACTCCTCAGCGATGTGAATCCCTGGTCCCGCACGCAGGAACTGAACCCAGGACATTCGGTTTCGCTCAAATGATTAACCTTTAAACTACTGAGCCGTCATATAGCAGTGTTAATATCTGACTTTAATGAATCCATGAAGTTGCGCGACCATCTTATGATGGCTGGAGCATATGTTATCCAATTCGAGCTACTTATTACTCTTGAAGCAATTAGTATTATCACACGCCTACGAGGTTTTTCGTTACTTTTCGACAGATGAGTTATTCTAATCTCAGTTATTTTGTCATTGGTATATGTAACCTCGAGCATATATGTATAATAGTACGAATGTGTCTATATGCTTGTTTGTACATTTCACGCCTATAAACATTCAATCACGTTTCAATTAAACTGAGTAGACACATCTGATTTTTTCGTCTCTCATCTTAATGTTTATCTGAGTAAATGAGTGCCTGAAAAAATTTATCTAACATTCTAGATTCGGCATTTTATTACCACCGTCGCCAGACTCAGTTTGTTTAAATATAGCTTACGAAATCATGTTCATGGTTCATTCATCTTTCCTTTGTAATTCATTATGAAGTTATACAACGAGCCCATATTCTACATGAGATGACGGAAGAACGTTTCAGGAACTTAGCGCCCACGACAAAATATAACTCTGATCTACAAAATAGCAAGTGTTGGTTCATTTTTATTTATTTGAACGCATGAATATTAGTACAAAGGGGCACCAAATACATATGCGCCACACAAGTCACTTGGTTTGTATGTGGGCTGTGATACCGCCTGTGTGCCCAAACTGAAGCAGGTGGTTTTCTTAGAGGGCCACACCCGCAGCCTTCGACCTAAAGTTCTGATCCGTAAGGTAGTGGAGTAACATCAGGAGATACAGTTCCATGGTAACCGGTGACTAACAATTGGTTCATAAGCCATTTATCCCCTCAGGATACTGGAGCCCAAGTGCATTATTTGGTTTAAAATCAGAGTTGTCCAACTCCCTTAGGTGAATCCTCCATACCCACCAACCCAGTTGAAGCGCCGGACATTCGCTTTTCGTCCTCTCAATCTCACAAACAACACCCCCGTCGCGAGAAGACAGTAAGTAGGACTTTCCTGACAGTGGTTATAAACGTGCGGCCGTGTGAGAGCATTTCGAGAGGGAGAGCTAACTCTCCCCACCCTCGGCCGTATCAGGGCATTTGGGGGCGTGTTGGTTCAAGTTGAGCTGAGAAACAGAACTACAACAATCATAGTTTGTGAGATGCTTGCAGAAACCAGAATAGACGGGTTAAAATCTATCATGAAAATGTAAATCTATTAACTCTATATCCTTTTCCATAAACGCATTATTCGTCTATATCAAGTGATTTAATAACCTTTGTTAACTTTGATCTTTTTTCTCATACGTCTTTTTAGACTGATACAAACAGAAACATCACATAATATTTTATCGTTTAATTCTTTAGATTCACTTATTTACTAGTCTACTTAAGATTTGTAAACAACTTCAAATAAAGCCACGTTGTTGAGGAGGTAGTTGAGCTATAGGGAAGTAATAAAAAACAAAAACATTTGACTCAAGTATTCTTAAAAACAAGCAAATTATAACATTTCCACTAAGTACTTCATATTATCTCAAAATGAATATAGGATTTATATAAAAAAGTATTTACTATAATCTTGATTGAATCCAACAAATAAAATTCCGCTGTTACCGGAATCAGTTGGAGAAACTCGCATGCACATCTGAGATGATTGGAAACATTCACCCACAACGTTCACTGATATGAAATAGGTCCCGTTTCACTAGGAATTTATGGGTCAAGGGCACTAGTCAACATGCTATGGGAAGAATTTGGAAACATACTAATTAACATTTTGAAACCATTTAAATAAGGCGAGAAAAGATCGTAATATAATGTCATTCTAATTTTTAAGACTGCAGCCCTAAAAATCCCATTTCATCCTCTCACAAAAGGACATTACCAAACATACATGACATAAACTGAACGAAATACAACTCATTCATAGGTAATCACTAGTGATATTAGCTAATTTTACAAGGGCGGAATGAATAAACAAGCGGATAAATGAAAGTAGTCGCAAAGTGTGGATTCACATTTGACAGTAAACCTTGTCTCATTCCGCTTTCTCAAAGAGTACAGACGGTCTTAAAATTACTGCTGTGTATAACTGTACTTCAGTGAACTTTCCTATTGTCACGTAATTGTTCATATCTCCTCAACCGATGTACTTCAACTTGATTCTATAAAATCGAAGGAGATAAATAGTCTAAACTCAGTATAAATACTAAAACGATATTCAGAACAAGTGTACAGTAGCATGTATATCTGGTCAGTGTATATATCAACTGAATAATAAGATTGATATCAGTAGCACTTTCAGACCAGGTAACAATTGAATTCAGGAGTCTATTGTATCGTTCTTCGCCAGGTAAACATCTATCCAAGATATGTGATATGGAAACATTAGATATTTCGAGCATTTTTATCAACGACGATGAAAATTTGCAAACCCTGTCATTTGTGTTAGGAAATATTTAACGGAATGAACAACAGATCTTCAGCTTCTTGATCAATAATCAACCACTACAAATGTAACTTGTTTTACGAAATACAAACCTATTTATGTGGATTTAAACAGTACTTTGGTTCAAAGCATGATGTTATTATTTATTTGCTTAAACTGAAGGTGAGGCGGATTTGTAAACTGAGATACATTATGCAGTATGAATACCTCTGAGTTGACCTGGACAAATTATGTACAAGCCACTGTAGCTGGCATTTCTAAGTATCACTACTTACTGGATTGTTCCTAATATGTAGGAAAACAGCTCGGAGATATTTTACATCAAAAAGGTAAGTTATAGTTGCTCGTAGTGTAGAGGTGTCTATTAGACCTATTAAAACGACTAATAACGTGAGCCACCCACATCGGTACACAGCTTCTTACCTTACGCTAAGCCTAAGTATACTGATTTCAACAGCCAACACTTTTTATTCATATTGCCAACAACATATGGACATACTATTTCGTACAATTCACAGTACGTGTCAAAATAAGGTTGCTGGTGATAATAAACAGAATAAAACTGTTCTATACAACTGAGCCAATCGTAAATGTGCAAAGCTCTATAAATTAGTATTGAGAATTTTAGTTAGAGCTTTCATCGCAAACTGACACCAGTTATGATGCGAAGACCCTAAAGCGAATATTTTAGCGAAAGTTTTAGCATAACAGACTGCATATATCATCATCTCGGTTTCCTGATTGGTTAGACAGCTCGAGATCTTGCGACCTTTTGGGGGGTATACTACAGCTTTATCAATACAACGCTTGCTCGTCGTGAAAATCGGTCTTCTTAAACTAGCAGGACCTGAGAATCTTCAGGTTTGATGCTGCAAATAATACATCTGAGCTTTGCATTGGACTCATATGGAAACCAACCAATAAATGTAAACTATACAAATGGTCTTGATATGAATGAAAACGAATAATGGGAACATGGATAGAAAGTGTCGAATCTATGAGCGGTTTCTAAAACAGAATTACCGATAGCCTTCAATTAGATGCCATGTTTTGGATGAGATTTTGTATTTAGGATAATTTGGATGATGATATAGTCGTACATTACTGAGTCTCGGACGATTAGAAGGGGCATATTGTGTAACTCTGAACAGTAAATACAGTGAAGATATATGCAGCCCAGAGAAGGTATTGTTTTACGGTTCACCACGTGCTGAACAAAAAGTCCTACTAATAAATCGCACTTGCACGATCAAAGTTGAAACTGCAACAGATAGTGGTTTCGACAATTGGATGGCTAGCATTAGCACAAGTAGCCACTGACGCAACAAGTGCACACGTAAACATAGCTGCGCTGGTAGAGCGGTATGGTTACTGTTGAGAAGTGTGCTCAAAAATGCTTTTAGGATAAAATGTCTCTTGAAGTTGAAATAGTAGTTCCAATCGATGCAAATCTTGCTCGCAGAACAGAACAATGGGATCAGGAGTGTTTTTTTAGATCCGGTAAGTGCATTTTTGTTGGTTAAATTGTAGCTATTCGGAGTTTGAGATAAAACACTACAAAAAGGTGGTCTTAAATGAGTTCCTGTACTAGTTGTAGGACAGTATATCATACCCGAAATAACAATGTATACCGATGAGTGTAGGGAGAACAAAGCCTTCACATATAGTTATATCCTTTGAGTATCTAAACATGAACACCTCGCAAACCTAACAAAAGAAGTACACACTAACATGGGATCAATGTGATATTTAGTTACCCGATCATCAAACTGAGAGGCTGGAAGCAGAATCAAGTGTATGACTGAAAATACTTGCTCTTAGTACTGACACTTAACAACAAAAATACACACACGAACAAAACTACATTTGTGCAAACCAATTAATGTAGATATAAAACCGTCCTGTCAGATAAAACATTGTACGTTAAAGACAAATGAAAACCAAGGGGGTGTTTTACTAGTTATTTGCTATAAAACTCACCGTACAGACAAAACTATAAACCACAAAACAGCAAAAACACAATAGTAACAAAACAGCACAGTACCGACTAGATCGTATATTCCACCTAACCTGAATGGTCCAATTGCCAATATTCAGTACTATTTTCACGAGCTTGCAAAAAAGGATGGATTTCTTCTTCTTGTTTCAGTACGGATCTGAGTATTTTTCAATGTCTAATGGATGGTAGTCTAGTCACTCAATCGCATGGATTTTTGTCAGTGTGATAGTTATTTGTAGTGTAGGACCAGTGAAATTCCGCTGAGCCCTAGCCAAATCATTCTGCAGTTGGGTCATTGAATATCGAACGAATTATCTATCCTCGTCAGGTTCAAGAACAACCAGAGCGCACCAGGTAATCGTACGCCATGAACTGGTCCATGTGGCAGTGGTCTTACTGTCGCTTGTATCTACTTTAACTGATATATTTATTTGATAACGTCCTCTGTGTTGTACAGTCTTCAAAGCATCTATAGTACCTTGATGCGTCAATAAGGTAGTTCATGTAAGGTGCTGACCACGAGGTGTGACTTCGACGGTAGCTGGTTCGTCACACCATTCCCGTCTAACTCCAGTAGGCCTCCGATCATTCGATATAGATCATCTATGTTGGCGATCTACACTGATGAGCTCTTCGTGATATAAGTGTTATGCGTTACAGATGTGGTAACGAAAGTTCGCTACCTCGTCGATACTAGCTCAGAAGTTAGCGTTCTTTCAGCGAATTTTAACGACCGGTTTCACGTATCGGTTTTAAATCTACAGGCGGCAAACGGAAAGCTTATTGCCACATACGGTAAAAAGTGCGTTTACCTTAACGTGGGTTTACGCAAACTCTTTCACTGAATCTTCGTTTTAGTAGATGTTTCTATGTCAATCATTGGAATAGACCTTCTTCAGCACCATAATCTGATCGTCGATACGCGCAAACGGAGGCTAGTAGATAGAAACACTAATTTATCTGTTTGCGTAACTTTTTCCGGTTGCAGATTATCTCCAGTCACAATTAAGCATACGATAGACCCACTTTATCAACCACTACTCGATAAGCATCTAGGGATTCATTTAACGCAACGGAAATTACAGTGTGTAACCAGCAAGGTTACACATCACATTACGACTATAGGATCACCTGTATTCTCTAAAGTACGGCGACCAGCCCCTGAAAAGCTAAGGTTATCGAAAAACGAATTCAATCACATGATAGACTTAGGAATCATACGACCATCAAACAGCCCATATGCATCTCCGTTGCACATGGTCCCTAAAAAGGACAGCAACGATCGGCGTCCAACCGGTTACTATCGGCGATTGAATGCGAAAACCATTCCCGATCGTTACCCGTTGCCTCACATTCACGATTTGACAGCTACATTGAAAGGTACAACTGTCTTTTTGAAGATCAACTGTGTTAAAGCGTATAGCCAATTCCCCATGACCACTGACGACATTCCGAAAACAGCTATCATAACTCCCTTCGGACTCTATGAATTTTTGCGAATGCCTTTCGGTCTAAGAAACAGTACGCAAACATTCCAAAGATTCATAGACGACGTTTTTCGAGGTCTCAACTTCGTACATGCGTATGTTGACGACTGCCTAGTCACAAGTCCGGACAGAGAATCACATCTCAAGCATCTGGATCTTGTTTTCGAACGACTACAAAAACATGGTGCTACTGTAAACATTCAGAAATGAGGAATCAGAACAGACTCCTTAGATTTTCTAGGACACACTATAGATGCTCAGCAAGTGGAATACATTTCGCAGTTTACTTCAGACATTCAACATATTTCTGGAGCAAACAATCTAGTCGCAGATGCCTTGTCTCGCATAACTCCCTTGAACAATTTCTATTTCAAACTCGCCCAACTTCAAAAAAGAACATTGATCTTCAGCGCGAGTTATCATCAACAATCCTTAAGCCGTGCATTAAACAAACGGGAACAGCTAAATAAATCTTAATACTTGACACATCTACAGATAGGGATCGCCTAATCGTGCCGAAACATTATCGACGCAATGTCTTCAATACGTTGCACAAACGTTTTCATCCAGGTGTTCGTGCAATCATCAAGCTCATGGCAGAATGGCATTGCTGGCCTGGTATGAATAAAGACGTGAGGGAGTGGGCACGCTCCTGTGTAAGTTGCCAAAAATCTAAGGTTATTACACACAAAAAATGTCCCTTATGCTCTTTCAAAACTCCGGACCATTTCACTTGATGGCCAGAAGTAGTACCTATCAACGACATCATTTCTGAAACAGTGGCCCGCGCCGTTTTCGAACTATGAGTAGCAAACTCCGGGTGCCCTTCAACCATCACTGCAGATCGTGGACGCAAGTTCGAATCTGAACTTTTCCGTTGTCTGACCGCACTATTAGGAATCACTCGCTTCCGAACGACCGCCTGCCACCCACAAGCAAACGGGATGGTAGAACTCTTTCACCGACAACTAAAAGCTTCCTTATCAGCTGCAAACGTTTCACAGTGGACCGACGCTCTTCCACTCTTCTTACTAGGTATTCGCAATGCAGTGAAGGCTGACATTGGATACACTGCGGCTCAACTCGTTTATGCAACGACACTTCAACTTCCAGGAAAATTCGTGGATCCTTCATCCTTTTCAATGAATATAGATCTAACATCCTACACAAACAGGCTTACAAACACAATGCGTTCAGTTAAACCTGTTTCCACTCGGCCGCAATCAACTGATGTTTTCGTCCAACATGACTTAAGACATAGTACGCACGATATCGTTCATCGTGACTCACATCGACGACCTCTCGAATCATCATACAAAGGATCCTTCAAAGTTGTTCAACGTGAACCCAAGTACTATATAGTCGATAAGAACGGAACCAACGATAGCATTAACATCGGTCACCTCAAAACAACGTATTTAGAAGGAAATCCTATCTACGTCGATTTTCCTTCGCTACAATCGTATGACATGACTCCCACACCTATAATACTTCAACCGACAGCCAAAACACACGATGATACTTCAGCAGTATGAAAAAATAAACAACGCCTTCTAGAAGAAGAGTAAGATTTCCAGAACATTCGAAAGATTATTACACGTAAGATACTAGTAGACATTTTATATCGTCTCGATTTTCCTTTGTACTACATATAATTTGAAAAACGACTTTGATATGCTTGTATATTTATATTTTTATTTAAAAAAACAAAAAAACCATATTATAACAAACGTTTTTACGCTATCACGTGTGCATGAGTATATTTTCCACTTTTTCGCACGCTTTGTGTTTTTACGCTCATACGAGGAACCGAAATTTTCATTGTAATTTTTCTTTTTTTACTATATTGTACTTTATAGTCCCTTGTATTAAGAAAGATGACCAGACGCTGCTAAACCTAGCAAGCTATCAGAAGAGTGTTTACCAACAACAAACTCGTTGGGTTGATTGGCTGTGATTGGCTGTACAAGTCATATTTCCATGTACCAACGGCTTTCGTGCACCTTCTCAAGATTGTAGATCGGATGTTATGACATCCTGTTGTCTTTTCTGAGGGCAGAGACTTTATCCCCAAGAGATAAATAAATATCTCAGACTATCAACTGGAACTGTACTTAACAGATGTTCTGAGCTTGTGGACCTCTGGTTTAGTTGATCTACGAAGTTGGCATTAAAGATCCCTACCATCGCCAAATTGGTGAGGTCTTCGCGATTTGTCCCTTTTAAGATGCTGATCCCCTAACTTGTGGGCTTTTTCCTGGTCACGAATCAGCAGAGATATTCGGGGTTATCTTGGACTTCGGTTGCTAGCTTAGCTTGAAAACGTGTATTGCTTCAGACGTTCGCATTACATTTGATTTTCAATGCCCGAGTAAGAGCCAAGATCAGATTCTGTCAAGTAGACCTTACACTTGCTTCAGGCTCTCCGCTTGGCCTGTAACAAGCGCTCCGTGCCTCTCTTAACCAAGGATTTTCGTTTCCCACCTAGTGTTTCTCTACAGCACGATTCGTCTTCCGATCGTTAAACAGATTGTTGTTAAGAGTGTGTGAACCATTTTCTTGTAGACTGGCCATTGTAGGTCTTTCTACTGTATTGTGTGTTCTATGACCGAAACCGTCGTCTCTCCGTTCCATACAGTAGGTTGTTCATCAAGGTCGATTGACGCTAGTGTGAGTTCGATCGGGTTTTTCTGCTGTTGTCTTACCAATCTTGGTCGGCTTCACGACATATTATGTGACTGAAGAGATTGTTTTTCAAGATATCTCATGCCCGAAGGACCTCGCTTAAGTGTTCTCGGTTTTTGAAGTTCACACATATCAGACGGGGAGACTTAATGGTCGTTCTGTGTAACAGACGAGGTAGCTTGGGTACGCTATTCATTGTGGTAGCGTGAAGGCCTATATTGCATGATAACCAACGCCATTGTGACTTATTGTGTTCATAAGCTTCATTCTGATCACCACCTAGTAGCTCATGTATATTGCCTAAAACTATACTAATTGGTTCTTGTGGGTCCGCTAATATACAGATGGCATCTCTTATATTCCACAGTTTGTTGTTTTCTTCTTGGATTTGAGAAAATGGCTTAACCGATGTCAGTGAAACGTCTTCTTTACCATATGTTGAATCAAAAGTGTTCCTTAGTGGAGAAGCTTTGCCATTCGCTACGTTTTGACCCATATATAAACCACTTTGTACAGTATTTTCCCATCATTTTTAAATCAAAGGCAGGCATACTTCGTAATAAGCTACCCTCCGACTCTAGGACAACTCCTAACCTATTTTTGGTGTTTTGGTTACTATGATTTTGAAATCTACTCAACCATTGCTCCTTACTTTTAAAAGCTTCTAAAGTGTCAGCAAAGGTGGGTAATGTTGTTGGTTTAAAGGCTAGCAATGTGGCTCTTATAGCCACATGTTTGGCTCGACTTGTATGAAACAGATCGCATGGATAACTAAGTTGAATTTGGTATGGTTTATTGTTTCACTTTTGTTCGCTCTGTTGGTATACGTATTCCAGATTGAGTGCGAATGTACCTAGATTACGTGCAAGGGTATTTTGACACGAAAACATAGTACTGCCTAGCTAGTATAAATGCAGAGCGACAATATAAGAGGTTAACATAGATTACATTTAAATGAAAGGTTGTACGTTTAACGAATGATTAAAAATAAACACGAAAAAAAAGTGTTATATGAAGATAAGGAACAACCTGATAAAACTTGAATACATGAAAAAAAAGATATAAATAAAAAACGGTTCGGAAAAAAACCAAAAAATCTAAGATGAAGCGAAAAAAAGTAAAAATATAAACTATTTAAAAGCATTAAAAATTACCGCTAAAAGTAACAAACAATCGATCGGTAAATAAATACACGGACAGAAAAATGGAGAGCAAGCCACATAAATATGAAGAAAAAGTTGACATGCACGCGACCGATCGAAAATCATCGTCGCCTCAACACACCTCACCATCGATAACATATCGCACGTCTCCTGTTGACACCACAACGTCGTCATATCAATCGGTCTACACGATCACGCATCACTCCACTGAGTTGCGACAATCACAGCCATCGTATCATTGACCAACTGGATCATCAAATGTTACAACCGCCTCAATAATCCATCCACTCCCACCAACCGACAGTTCACGTCTGAACACCGAAACATCCACAGCGATGAGTCATTGAACGACCGAGTCGAGGCATCCATCTAACCGTGATTCTGTGCATGCATCTGTGTGTGATTGCATCACCGCCTGATTATCTGAATAGCTACACCAACCAACCAACCACCCACCTGTAAGATCCATTTTGAATGCTTTGTGTGTTCGTGAAAATCCCTCCATGTATATACTTGCACTTTGTTCCTATTGATTCTTTTAGTCGTACAATGTTAACCTTTTGACTACAGTTGAATTGTTAATATTTGTATTTTATTATAGTTTTCGTTTTTACCACACCTTCACTAATTCCCTATGCTTCTTCCCGAACTGCACTTATGTTGTTTTACTTTATACTAAGTCTTGGCGGCAGCCATTTTGGTTTGTTCCTGTTTGTGATTGCTTGACCTGCGTTGACTGGGACTGTGCATTTTTGTTGTGAATTGAAGCACTCTTCCAGAATTGAAAACACTCTGGGTTATAGAGCGACCAAGTATTACCTTTTGAACGAATCTGTACGTGATCTATCCAGACAGGATAGAATAACATTTATTTGTGGTGATTGGTAATTTTCTTGCATCCTTTATCAACGTTCTTATTTATTATAGTTTAGAGTTGATCAATTAAACAATTATTGGTTGGATAGCTGAGTGGTTATATTTGTTTAGGTAATAATGTACACTTAAATTTATGATAAATTATAGAACCGCTATCTTACCCAATTATTTTGTTTTGGTTTCAATCGGGCGAGGGCGCGTATCTAACTCATCCAGACAGCTGTCCAGCAGTCCAAACGTAGTTTGGATCTTACAGTTCTAAACAAATATTTGGTCGAATTCGTTTGGCTTTCGTTTCGTTGATTCCAATCATCGTCTCTGGGAATATCTGGTCGTTCGCTTCCGATGCCAAACAATCGTCGAAGGAAATTAAGTCCAAGGCTTGTGGATGTTAAAAGAGATGAACAAAAGGATGGATCCCCTCAATCAAAGCAAGTGCCTTCTGATGCTTCTATGTGTCATGGTTCATATTCTAATAGGGACGATTGTAATTATAGTGAATCTAGTTGTGATATAATGTCAGATGGCATAGAAAACCTTAATTTAGACGTGAAGCAAGCAAAAGACGTAAGGCCGTCGGCGTTTTTCATAGGTCCAGAGTTACCAAAGGTTGAGTTAGGTTATTTCGACGGTCAACCAAGAGGTTACTGGAAGTTTTTAAGGGAGTTTGAGACCTATGTGGAATCAAGGGTCAAGGATGATGGTCAACGCTTGCTTTATTTGATACATTATTGTAAGGGTAAAGCGAAAACAGCCATTGAGGGTTGTGTTATGTTGGAAGCCTCTTTTGGTTACAAAAAGGCCAAAGAAATTCTAAAACGGTTGTTCGGACAGGCGCATGTAATCGCTCGGGAGACTTTAGAGGACTTATTCAAAACTACAAATGTTGATTACAGTGATCCTGAGCAACTAACAAATCTAGCTATTAGGATGGAAAATTGTTCTATGGTTTTGAAACAGATGAAGTATACTGCCGACTTAAATTCTTTAATTACCTTAGAGAGAATAGTAGGACTCTTACCTCAAGTTATGCAAGCCCAATGGGCGGACTGGGTAGATGAATTGACTGAAGATAATAGAGAACCAACCTTTGACGAGCTTACACAATTTATAGCATCCCGCGCGAGGGTAGCTAATAGTAGGTTTGGACGGTTAGCGAATCGTCCGAGAAAGGGACACAACGTAAAGACAAATTGTCACTTGCAATTGGAGCAGGCGAATAATTCGAAAGAGAAAGCTAAATGCAGTGTGTGTTCCCTAGACCATGCTATTTATAAATGTCCAAAATTTTTAGCGCTTACCGTTCAAGAGAGATGGTCTCACGCGAAGGTTAATGGCATCTGTTTTGTCTGCCTCAGGCAAGGGCATAAAGTTAGTGAATGTAAGCTGGCAAAACGTTGTAACGTTGAGGGTTGTGAAAGGAAACACCATTCTTTGTTACACAGCGAGAGTGAGAAACCTGGTACCTCGAGTTGTTGCGGATATACTAAATCACTAATCAGTCAAGTGTGTTTAGGCATGATTCCCGTACGGTTGAAATCGCGAAAAGCCGAGATTGTGGGTTACGCTCTGTTGGACAACGGTTCTGATGTGACACTGATAAAATCAAACTGTTTGAGGTCTCTCGGGCTGAGCGAAGACGAAGCATCAGTGGTAGTTGAGACTGTGGGCGGTAATAGAACAATGAAGGTCACGAGTGCGCCTTTCGAGGTATATTCTTTAGATCGATCTGAACATGTTACGATTGAAGGAGCTCTGATTGTAGCACGTATACCAGGTCATAAGCCAACAAAGTCAGCAATGAACAACCTAGTTAAGTGGCCGCATTTAAGTGATGTACCAATAGATAGCCTAGACTCTGAAGAAGTTTTACTGTTGATTGGTTGCGACATACCAGAAGCACACTGGGTGTTAGACCAGCGGTTGGGCGGAAGAAAAAGCCCGTACGCTGTGAAGACGTTGCTGGGGTGGACGGTTTTCGGACCTGCGTTATGTTCGGAATATAGGAAAAGAGTAGTTAATCATACCAGTAAATTACAGACTTTGGAGAACGAAATACGTAAACCTTATGATGTAGAGTTTTCTGATGTTTATTCAAATGATAAATCATTATCAGTAGACGACAAGACGGCTATAAGGATTGTGGAAGGTGGCACACGCTTCGTAAATGGTCATTTTGGAGTCCCTATACCATGGAAAGTGCACCCAAATATGGGAGGGGGGAATTATGAAGTGGCAAACAGTAGACTACAGAGTTTGAAGCGTAGATTGTTGAAAGATGACATTCTGTATATCAAGTATACAAATGGTATTGAAAGGCTTCCGACTATGAAAGGGATTCTATTCATAGTTTCTTCTCTGTTCGATCCTTTGGGTTTAATTGCTCCGGTCTGTCTTCCTGCCAAGGTCCTCTTGCAAAAATTATGTAAGTCCCAAATAGGCTGGGATCAGCCTCTCAACGAGCCATACAAGTCCGCGTGGCCAAATTGGGTAAAATTTATGCGTCAAACAGGTCCCAGATTTGCAGGACTTCAAAGATTCGTCGCTCGAGATGTTGTTCAGAAAGCTCTTGTGGAATTAGGCGTGTATAGAGGTGAGAAAGATAATCCTGTGGTTGTACCGATGTGTTCTCAAAGCAAAGATATTGTTGGACCATTGTTGAAACCTCAATGGTACCTACGTTGTAAGGACATGGCTAATGCGGCAATGAAGGAGGTATCTGAAGGCCGCTCACGTATTATTCATAGTTTCCATATTCGTACATGGAATAATTGGCTTAAAGATTGTCAGGATTGGTGTATTTCTCGACAATTATGGTGGGGACATCATATTCCTGCTTGTCATGTTTCGATTCGACGTCCTGGCGTAGATAATTTAGAAGTTTTAGATCCTACAGATCATAATTCATGGGTAGTTGGTCATACAATCGAAGAAGCACTTCAAAAGGCCTGTGATAATTTCCATTGTTCACCAGATAACTTAACTTTAAACCAAGATAATGATGTATTAGATACGTGGTTCTCTTCACAATTATTTCTATTATCTGGATTTGGTTGGCCTGAACAAATACCAGATTTAAAGGCTTATTATCCTGGTAGTTTATTAGAAACTGGGCATGATATTATATTTTTCTCGGTTGCACGTATGGTTATGATTGGTTTGAAATTAATGGGACAATTACCATTTCATACGGTCTATTTACATGCTATGGTTCGTGATGCTCATGGCAAAAAAATGAGTAAATCTTTGGGTAATTCAGTCGATCCAGTAGATGTCATCAATGGAATATCTTTAGAAGGCTTACAAAAACAACTAGAACAAGGGCACGCAGGAACGTCCCAAGTATTGGCTATAATTCGAAAATGGTATTGGATAATGAAGGCAACCAGCACGGTTAAGAGAGTGATAGGTATGTGTGTGACATGCCGGCGGTTTACGATGAATACAGGGCAACAGTTGATGGCGCCGCTTCCAGCTTGTAGAGTTCAACCAGGATGGTATAGCTTCTCAGCCGTGGGAGTAGACTACTTTGGACCACTTGTTGTCAAGAGAGGAAGATCATTAGAAAAAAGGTATGGATGTATATTTACTTGCTTGCAAACCCGAGCAGTACATATTGAACTGACACACAGTTTGAATACTGATTCGTTTATAATGGCCTTGCTACGTTTTATTGGAAGAAGAGGGAAACCTGCAGAAATTTACAGTGACAATGGGTCAAATTTTGTGGGTGCGGTCTCTGAGTTAAGGAGATTTGTGCAACAGTTGAATCAACAGAAAATAGACAAAGAACTGTCAGCTAGGCAGATTCAGTGGCATTTTAACCCGCCCTCAGCCAGCCACAGGGGTGAGGTTTGGGAAAGGATGATTAGGTCCATACGCCGACTGTTATTGCTGATAACTAGAGAGCAGACTCTAACCGATGAGACTTTAAACACTTATTTGATTGAGATTGAAAGGATATTGAACGATCGACCCTTAACTCCGGTCGTTCAAGATGCTAACGATAAACTAGCTTTGTCGCCAAACAGTTTGTTGTTATTGAGAGAATGTGACGGAATAGTCGAAGAAGGTAGCATCAGAGATAAATATGACAAACGTTGGAAACAGGTTAATCATCTTGCTAATGTGTTTTGGAAAAGGTGGTTAAGAGAGTATTTACCGTCACTACAAGAACGTCAAAAATGGTTAGTTGAACACCGCAATTTTCAGAAAGGAGATGTAGTGATCGTGGATTCGGACATATCGACCTGTGGAAAATGGCCCTTAGGAGTAGTTGAAGATTGTGAAATAGATGACGACGGAAGAGTTAGAACAGTGGTTGTTCGTACGAACGGTGGATTAGTCAGGAGAGATATACGTAGATTATGCCTCCTTGAAGGCTCGAATTAGTTCCTCGTATTATCAATGTAGGTAGGTCGAGTAGGCGTACTGTTGTAAGTCCTATTCATTCCTATAGTGTCATATGCTACATAATGAACCATGACCATAGGCATCAAGGTAGCTTGTGTGATATGGAGGGATTTTGGGGGCCGGTGTAAGATCCATTTTGAATGCTTTGTGTGTTCGTGAAAATCCCTCCATGTATATACTTGCACTTTGTTCCTATTGATTCTTTTAGTCGTACAATGTTAACCTTTTGACTACAGTTGAATTGTTAATATTTGTATTTTATTATAGTTTTCGTTTTTACCACACCTTCACTAATTCCCTATGCTTCTTCCCGAACTGCACTTATGTTGTTTTACTTTATACTAAGTCTTGGCGGCAGCCATTTTGGTTTGTTCCTGTTTGTGATTGCTTGACCTGCGTTGACTGGGACTGTGCATTTTTGTTGTGAATTGAAGCACTCTTCCAGAATTGAAAACACTCTGGGTTATAGAGCGACCAAGTATTACCTTTTGAACGAATCTGTACGTGATCTATCCAGACAGGATAGAATAACATTTATTTGTGGTGATTGGTAATTTTCTTGCATCCTTTATCAACGTTCTTATTTATTATAGTTTAGAGTTGATCAATTAAACAATTATTGGTTGGATAGCTGAGTGGTTATATTTGTTTAGGTAATAATGTACACTTAAATTTATGATAAATTATAGAACCGCTATCTTACCCAATTATTTTGTTTTGGTTTCAATCGGGCGAGGGCGCGTATCTAACTCATCCAGACAGCTGTCCAGCAGTCCAAACGTAGTTTGGATCTTACACCACCCACCCACATATCCATCCTAACGTCCGTCCGTTTGCTCAATCGTTCCTTCGCTTATTTGTCACTTAGTGTTTATTGCTCGTCATCTTGTTCTGTGGAAATCTCGGTCTCTCCCATATCCACTTGATCCATTTGTCCACGTGTCCGATTATCCGATTGTCTATCGGTCAATAATCAGTCGGACAGTCGATTGGTGGGCTAGCCACCAAGTCAGCACACCAGACAATCAGTCAGCCAGTCAATCTATCAGATGTTGCACCAATTATTCGTCCGTCCCAGCCTACAATAGCATGACCGATTCACTGCGACTCAGTGCTACGTTGTCTTCACGACGGTTCTGCGTCGGTCACATTCAATCCGTGCATTGTGCTGGTCAGACGACTCGATTTTCATGTAGGGTGATCCACACCACAACGTGGATGAGAATGCACATGTGTGGGGAGTGAGTGAGTGAGTTTATGGAGTGTTCGGTTTGGAGAATGTATGGAGTATGGATTGGCTAGAGAATTGAGTTGTATTTTGATGAAGAGATGAGTGCAATGTGTTGTTGGTGTTGACTTGTATCAGCGATAGGATGTGTGTGTGTGTGTGTAGTGTGAGTTTCAGTGTGTCGGTATTAGTGGGCGTTTGTGTTTGTAGTAGCGGTGTGGAATGGTGGCATGCCTCCAGGACGGGGTGGCCGAGTGGTTAAGGCGATGGACTGCTAATCCATTGGGGTTTCCCCGCGTGGGTTCGAATCCCATCCCCGTCGAGTGTCGCTTTTACACACATGCCAGCTCACCGACTACACACTACACCACACTGTGCAACATGACTCTCTCTCTCTCTCTCTCACACACACACTCCCACTGCCTACCCGACTGACTCTCACCACCGGCTGTTCCCGAGTTCAAGTCGTATGGATATGATGATCGAGTCGGTTTGTACGCGACCGATCGAAAATCATCGTCGCCTCAACACACCTCACCATCGATAACATATCGCACGTCTCCTGTTGACACCACAACGTCGTCATATCAATCGGTCTACACGATCACGCATCACTCCACTGAGTTGCGACAATCACAGCCATCGTATCATTGACCAACTGGATCATCAAATGTTACAACCGCCTCAATAATCCATCCACTCCCACCAACCGACAGTTCACGTCTGAACACCGAAACATCCACAGCGATGAGTCATTGAACGACCGAGTCGAGGCATCCATCTAACCGTGATTCTGTGCATGCATCTGTGTGTGATTGCATCACCGCCTGATTATCTGAATAGCTACACCAACCAACCAACCACCCACCTGTAAGATCCATTTTGAATGCTTTGTGTGTTCGTGAAAATCCCTCCATGTATATACTTGCACTTTGTTCCTATTGATTCTTTTAGTCGTACAATGTTAACCTTTTGACTACAGTTGAATTGTTAATATTTGTATTTTATTATAGTTTTCGTTTTTACCACACCTTCACTAATTCCCTATGCTTCTTCCCGAACTGCACTTATGTTGTTTTACTTTATACTAAGTCTTGGCGGCAGCCATTTTGGTTTGTTCCTGTTTGTGATTGCTTGACCTGCGTTGACTGGGACTGTGCATTTTTGTTGTGAATTGAAGCACTCTTCCAGAATTGAAAACACTCTGGGTTATAGAGCGACCAAGTATTACCTTTTGAACGAATCTGTACGTGATCTATCCAGACAGGATAGAATAACATTTATTTGTGGTGATTGGTAATTTTCTTGCATCCTTTATCAACGTTCTTATTTATTATAGTTTAGAGTTGATCAATTAAACAATTATTGGTTGGATAGCTGAGTGGTTATATTTGTTTAGGTAATAATGTACACTTAAATTTATGATAAATTATAGAACCGCTATCTTACCCAATTATTTTGTTTTGGTTTCAATCGGGCGAGGGCGCGTATCTAACTCATCCAGACAGCTGTCCAGCAGTCCAAACGTAGTTTGGATCTTACAGTTCTAAACAAATATTTGGTCGAATTCGTTTGGCTTTCGTTTCGTTGATTCCAATCATCGTCTCTGGGAATATCTGGTCGTTCGCTTCCGATGCCAAACAATCGTCGAAGGAAATTAAGTCCAAGGCTTGTGGATGTTAAAAGAGATGAACAAAAGGATGGATCCCCTCAATCAAAGCAAGTGCCTTCTGATGCTTCTATGTGTCATGGTTCATATTCTAATAGGGACGATTGTAATTATAGTGAATCTAGTTGTGATATAATGTCAGATGGCATAGAAAACCTTAATTTAGACGTGAAGCAAGCAAAAGACGTAAGGCCGTCGGCGTTTTTCATAGGTCCAGAGTTACCAAAGGTTGAGTTAGGTTATTTCGACGGTCAACCAAGAGGTTACTGGAAGTTTTTAAGGGAGTTTGAGACCTATGTGGAATCAAGGGTCAAGGATGATGGTCAACGCTTGCTTTATTTGATACATTATTGTAAGGGTAAAGCGAAAACAGCCATTGAGGGTTGTGTTATGTTGGAAGCCTCTTTTGGTTACAAAAAGGCCAAAGAAATTCTAAAACGGTTGTTCGGACAGGCGCATGTAATCGCTCGGGAGACTTTAGAGGACTTATTCAAAACTACAAATGTTGATTACAGTGATCCTGAGCAACTAACAAATCTAGCTATTAGGATGGAAAATTGTTCTATGGTTTTGAAACAGATGAAGTATACTGCCGACTTAAATTCTTTAATTACCTTAGAGAGAATAGTAGGACTCTTACCTCAAGTTATGCAAGCCCAATGGGCGGACTGGGTAGATGAATTGACTGAAGATAATAGAGAACCAACCTTTGACGAGCTTACACAATTTATAGCATCCCGCGCGAGGGTAGCTAATAGTAGGTTTGGACGGTTAGCGAATCGTCCGAGAAAGGGACACAACGTAAAGACAAATTGTCACTTGCAATTGGAGCAGGCGAATAATTCGAAAGAGAAAGCTAAATGCAGTGTGTGTTCCCTAGACCATGCTATTTATAAATGTCCAAAATTTTTAGCGCTTACCGTTCAAGAGAGATGGTCTCACGCGAAGGTTAATGGCATCTGTTTTGTCTGCCTCAGGCAAGGGCATAAAGTTAGTGAATGTAAGCTGGCAAAACGTTGTAACGTTGAGGGTTGTGAAAGGAAACACCATTCTTTGTTACACAGCGAGAGTGAGAAACCTGGTACCTCGAGTTGTTGCGGATATACTAAATCACTAATCAGTCAAGTGTGTTTAGGCATGATTCCCGTACGGTTGAAATCGCGAAAAGCCGAGATTGTGGGTTACGCTCTGTTGGACAACGGTTCTGATGTGACACTGATAAAATCAAACTGTTTGAGGTCTCTCGGGCTGAGCGAAGACGAAGCATCAGTGGTAGTTGAGACTGTAGGCGGTAATAGAACAATGAAGGTCACGAGTGCGCCTTTCGAGGTATATTCTTTAGATCGATCTGAACATGTTACGATTGAAGGAGCTCTGATTGTAGCACGTATACCAGGTCATAAGCCAACAAAGTCAGCAATGAACAACCTAGTTAAGTGGCCGCATTTAAGTGATGTACCAATAGATAGCCTAGACTCTGAAGAAGTTTTACTGTTGATTGGTTGCGACATACCAGAAGCACACTGGGTGTTAGACCAGCGGTTGGGCGGAAGAAAAAGCCCGTACGCTGTGAAGACGTTGCTGGGGTGGACGGTTTTCGGACCTGCGTTATGTTCGGAATATAGGAAAAGAGTAGTTAATCATACCAGTAAATTACAGACTTTGGAGAACGAAATACGTAAACCTTATGATGTAGAGTTTTCTGATGTTTATTCAAATGATAAATCATTATCAGTAGACGACAAGACGGCTATAAGGATTGTGGAAGGTGGCACACGCTTCGTAAATGGTCATTTTGGAGTCCCTATACCATGGAAAGTGCACCCAAATATGGGAGGGGGGAATTATGAAGTGGCAAACAGTAGACTACAGAGTTTGAAGCGTAGATTGTTGAAAGATGACATTCTGTATATCAAGTATACAAATGGTATTGAAAGGCTTCCGACTATGAAAGGGATTCTATTCATAGTTTCTTCTCTGTTCGATCCTTTGGGTTTAATTGCTCCGGTCTGTCTTCCTGCCAAGGTCCTCTTGCAAAAATTATGTAAGTCCCAAATAGGCTGGGATCAGCCTCTCAACGAGCCATACAAGTCCGCGTGGCCAAATTGGGTAAAATTTATGCGTCAAACAGGTCCCAGATTTGCAGGACTTCAAAGATTCGTCGCTCGAGATGTTGTTCAGAAAGCTCTTGTGGAATTAGGCGTGTATAGAGGTGAGAAAGATAATCCTGTGGTTGTACCGATGTGTTCTCAAAGCAAAGATATTGTTGGACCATTGTTGAAACCTCAATGGTACCTACGTTGTAAGGACATGGCTAATGCGGCAATGAAGGAGGTATCTGAAGGCCGCTCACGTATTATTCATAGTTTCCATATTCGTACATGGAATAATTAACTTAAAGATTGTCAGGATTGGTGTATTTCTCGACAATTATGGTGAGGACATCATATTCCTGCTTGTCATGTTTCGATTCGACGTCCTGGCGTAGATAATTTAGAAGTTTTAGATCCTACAGATCATAATTCATGGGTAGTTGGTCATACAATCGAAGAAGCACTTCAAAAGGCCTGTGATAATTTCCATTGTTCACCAGATAACTTAACTTTAAACCAAGATAATGATGTATTAGATACGTGGTTCTCTTCACAATTATTTCTATTATCTGGATTTGGTTGGCCTGAACAAATACCAGATTTAAAGGCTTATTATCCTGGTAGTTTATTAGAAACTGGGCATGATATTATATTTTTCTCGGTTGCACGTATGGTTATGATTGGTTTGAAATTAATGGGACAATTACCATTTCATACGGTCTATTTACATGCTATGGTTCGTGATGCTCATGGCAAAAAAATGAGTAAATCTTTGGGTAATTCAGTCGATCCAGTAGATGTCATCAATGGAATATCTTTAGAAGGCTTACAAAAACAACTAGAACAAGGGCACGCAGGAACGTCCCAAGTATTGGCTATAATTCGAAAATGGTATTGGATAATGAAGGCAACCAGCACGGTTAAGAGAGTGATAGGTATGTGTGTGACATGCCGGCGGTTTACGATGAATACAGGGCAACAGTTGATGGCGCCGCTTCCAGCTTGTAGAGTTCAACCAGGATGGTATAGCTTCTCAGCCGTGGGAGTAGACTACTTTGGACCACTTGTTGTCAAGAGAGGAAGATCATTAGAAAAAAGGTATGGATGTATATTTACTTGCTTGCAAACCCGAGCAGTACATATTGAACTGACACACAGTTTGAATACTGATTCGTTTATAATGGCCTTGCTACGTTTTATTGGAAGAAGAGGGAAACCTGCAGAAATTTACAGTGACAATGGGTCAAATTTTGTGGGTGCGGTCTCTGAGTTAAGGAGATTTGTGCAACAGTTGAATCAACAGAAAATAGACAAAGAACTGTCAGCTAGGCAGATTCAGTGGCATTTTAACCCGCCCTCAGCCAGCCACAGGGGTGAGGTTTGGGAAAGGATGATTAGGTCCATACGCCGACTGTTATTGCTGATAACTAGAGAGCAGACTCTAACCGATGAGACTTTAAACACTTATTTGATTGAGATTGAAAGGATATTGAACGATCGACCCTTAACTCCGGTCGTTCAAGATGCTAACGATAAACTAGCTTTGTCGCCAAACAGTTTGTTGTTATTGAGAGAATGTGACGGAATAGTCGAAGAAGGTAGCATCAGAGATAAATATGACAAACGTTGGAAACAGGTTAATCATCTTGCTAATGTGTTTTGGAAAAGGTGGTTAAGAGAGTATTTACCATCCCTACAAAAACGTCAAAAGTGGTTAGTTGAACACCGCAATTTTCAGAAAGGGGATGTAGTGATCGTGGCTTCGGACATATCGACGCGTGGAAAATGGCCCTTAGGAGTAGTTGAAGATTGTGAAATAGATGACGACGGAAGAGTTAGAACAGTGGTTGTTCGTACGAACGGTGGATTAGTCAGGAGAGATATACGTAGATTATGCCTCCTTGAAGGCTCGAATTAGTTCCTCGTATTATCAATGTAGGTAGGTCGAGTAGGCGTACTGTTGTAAGTCCTATTCATTCCTATAGTGTCATATGCTACATAATGAACCATGACCATAGGCATCAAGGTAGCTTGTGTGATATGGAGGGATTTTGGGGGCCGGTGTAAGATCCATTTTGAATGCTTTGTGTGTTCGTGAAAATCCCTCCATGTATATACTTGCACTTTGTTCCTATTGATTCTTTTAGTCGTACAATGTTAACCTTTTGACTACAGTTGAATTGTTAATATTTGTATTTTATTATAGTTTTCGTTTTTACCACACCTTCACTAATTCCCTATGCTTCTTCCCGAACTGCACTTATGTTGTTTTACTTTATACTAAGTCTTGGCGGCAGCCATTTTGGTTTGTTCCTGTTTGTGATTGCTTGACCTGCGTTGACTGGGACTGTGCATTTTTGTTGTGAATTGAAGCACTCTTCCAGAATTGAAAACACTCTGGGTTATAGAGCGACCAAGTATTACCTTTTGAACGAATCTGTACGTGATCTATCCAGACAGGATAGAATAACATTTATTTGTGGTGATTGGTAATTTTCTTGCATCCTTTATCAACGTTCTTATTTATTATAGTTTAGAGTTGATCAATTAAACAATTATTGGTTGGATAGCTGAGTGGTTATATTTGTTTAGGTAATAATGTACACTTAAATTTATGATAAATTATAGAACCGCTATCTTACCCAATTATTTTGTTTTGGTTTCAATCGGGCGAGGGCGCGTATCTAACTCATCCAGACAGCTGTCCAGCAGTCCAAACGTAGTTTGGATCTTACACCACCCACCCACATATCCATCCTAACGTCCGTCCGTTTGCTCAATCGTTCCTTCGCTTATTTGTCACTTAGTGTTTATTGCTCGTCATCTTGTTCTGTGGAAATCTCGGTCTCTCCCATATCCACTTGATCCATTTGTCCACGTGTCCGATTATCCGATTGTCTATCGGTCAATAATCAGTCGGACAGTCGATTGGTGGGCTAGCCACCAAGTCAGCACACCAGACAATCAGTCAGTCAGTCAATCTATCAGATGTTGCACCAATTATTCGTCCGTCCCAGCCTACAATAGCATGACCGATTCACTGCGACTCAGTGCTACGTTGTCTTCACGACGGTTCTGCGTCGGTCACATTCAATCCGTGCATTGTGCTGGTCAGACGACTCGATTTTCATGTAGGGTGATCCACACCACAACGTGGATGAGAATGCACATGTGTGGGGAGTGAGTGAGTGAGTTTATGGAGTGTTCGGTTTGGAGAATGTATGGAGTATGGATTGGCTAGAGAATTGAGTTGTATTTTGATGAAGAGATGAGTGCAATGTGTTGTTGGTGTTGACTTGTATCAGCGATAGGATGTGTGTGTGTGTGTGTAGTGTGAGTTTCAGTGTGTCGGTATTAGTGGGCGTTTGTGTTTGTAGTAGCGGTGTGGAATGGTGGCATGCCTCCAGGACGGGGTGGCCGAGTGGTTAAGGCGATGGACTGCTAATCCATTGGGGTTTCCCCGCGTGGGTTCGAATCCCATCCCCGTCGAGTGTCGCTTTTACACACATGCCAGCTCACCGACTACACACTACACCACACTGTGCAACATGACTCTCTCTCTCTCTCTCTCACACACACACTCCCACTGCCTACCCGACTGACTCTCACCACCGGCTGTTCCCGAGTTCAAGTCGTATGGATATGATGATCGAGTCGGTTTGTACGCGACCGATCGAAAATCATCGTCGCCTCAACACACCTCACCATCGATAACATATCGCACGTCTCCTGTTGACACCACAACGTCGTCATATCAATCGGTCTACACGATCACGCATCACTCCACTGAGTTGCGACAATCACAGCCATCGTATCATTGACCAACTGGATCATCAAATGTTACAACCGCCTCAATAATCCATCCACTCCCACCAACCGACAGTTCACGTCTGAACACCGAAACATCCACAGCGATGAGTCATTGAACGACCGAGTCGAGGCATCCATCTAACCGTGATTCTGTGCATGCATCTGTGTGTGATTGCATCACCGCCTGATTATCTGAATAGCTACACCAACCAACCAACCACCCACCCACCCACATATCCATCCTAACGTCCGTCCGTTTGCTCAATCGTTCCTTCGCTTATTTGTCACTTAGTGTTTATTGCTCGTCATCTTGTTCTGTGGAAATCTCGGTCTCTCCCATATCCACTTGATCCATTTGTCCACGTGTCCGATTATCCGATTGTCTATCGGTCAATAATCAGTCGGACAGTCGATTGGTGGGCTAGCCACCAAGTCAGCACACCAGACAATCAGTCAGCCAGTCAATCTATCAGATGTTGCACCAATTATTCGTCCGTCCCAGCCTACAATAGCATGACCGATTCACTGCGACTCAGTGCTACGTTGTCTTCACGACGGTTCTGCGTCGGTCACATTCAATCCGTGCATTGTGCTGGTCAGACGACTCGATTTTCATGTAGGGTGATCCACACCACAACGTGGATGAGAATGCACATGTGTGGGGAGTGAGTGAGTGAGTTTATGGAGTGTTCGGTTTGGAGAATGTATGGAGTATGGATTGGCTAGAGAATTGAGTTGTATTTTGATGAAGAGATGAGTGCAATGTGTTGTTGGTGTTGACTTGTATCAGCGATAGGATGTGTGTGTGTGTGTGTGTAGTGTGAGTTTCAGTGTGTCGGTATTAGTGGGTGTTTGTGTTTGTAGTAGCGGTGTGGAATGGTGGCATGCCTCCAGGACGGGGTGGCCGAGTGGTTAAGGCGATGGACTGCTAATCCATTGGGGTTTCCCCGCGTGGGTTCGAATCCCATCCCCGTCGAGTGTCGCTTTTACACACATGCCAGCTCACCGACTACACACTACACCACACTGTGCAACATGACTCTCTCTCTCTCTCACACACACACACTCCCACTGCCTACCCGACTGACTCTCACCACCGGCTGTTCCCGAGTTCAAGTCGTATGGATATGATGATCGAGTCGGTTTGTACGCGACCGATCGAAAATCATCGTCGCCTCAACACACCTCACCATCGATAACATATCGCACGTCTCCTGTTGACACCACAACGTCGTCATATCAATCGGTCTACACGATCACGCATCACTCCACTGAGTTGCGACAATCACAGCCATCGTATCATTGACCAACTGGATCATCAAATGTTACAACCGCCTCAATAATCCATCCACTCCCACCAACCGACAGTTCACGTCTGAACACCGAAACATCCACAGCGATGAGTCATTGAACGACCGAGTCGAGGCATCCATCTAACCGTGATTCTGTGCATGCATCTGTGTGTGATTGCATCACCGCCTGATTATCTGAATAGCTACACCAACCAACCAACC